TCACCCTGCTTGGCCCCAGAGGATGGCTGGTTAGTCAATGACAGGTAAGACCCTTTGATGACAGAGGCAACCTACAACGGGCACAGTCACATGGGGGCCATCAGGGAAGGACTTGGGGGACACGGAGACAGGGCAAAAGACCCTCACTTTTCGGCTTTGTCATGGCTGGAGTCCTTATTCTATCTGAAAGAAGTCTCCTTATTTCTTGTCTGCTCTGCTCCACCTGTCTGAGCGGGGTCAGTGAAACAATATTAAAGGCAGGTTCAGCCCTAAACTGGATCAGCAATTAGGCCTGGAAAAGGAATGCATTAAATCCTAAGAAACTTACTTTGCTAAAAATGCTCTCAAGTTAACGAGTGCTGATGTTTGGGGTCTGAGCATAAAATATGATCAGTGTCCCAGGATTCAGGGCCGAATGGGTACCGCCCTGTCTACCAGACCCTGACGCGAGGCAAATCTCTGTGTTCCTTCAATTGTTTCCTATGATCTCTATCTGTTTTCTGTAAACATAGCCTTTTGACATTTGATTGATGAGCTTTGCATGCACGCTGTATACCCCTTGCATATCGTTCTCAATAAAAGCCACTTCAAGAGAAGGGATAGGGGCATTCTCCACTAGAGGGAATCGCCACCGCCTTTTCTTGGCAGACCGAGAGTGTCTGGAACAACTGTTTATTTTTTCATCTGCAGCAACCCAGGGGGACTCTGTAGGACGGGGTCCCCCCCTCACCTGGAGCCCTACAGTGACGCTGCAGAAGGTGATCCCCTGGAGGAGTTGTATACCCCAGAAGGAGGGGTCAGAAAGAATCTGGGGAAACGAGCCTAGGGAATGATTTTATCAGAGACCTGTGGTTTGGGTGCTTTAAAAAAAAGATTTTATTTATTCATTTTTAGAGAGGGAGGAGGAAAGGAGAAAGAGACGGAGAGAAACATCGATGTGAGAGAGAAACTTCAATCAGTTGCCTCTCGCACATGCCCTGAGTAGGCAACCCTGGCCTGTGCCCTGACCAGGAATTGAACTGGCAACCTTTTGCTTTGTGGGATGACACCCAACCAAATGAGCCACACCAGTCGGGACAGATTAAGGTGCTTTTGATCAAAGAGAGGGTGTGTCCCTCTCTCACCTCCAGTTCCTGAGGCACATGTGCAGAACCACACTTGACACTACAGTATTAAAATCATTGCCCAGAAGGCAAAGGACCAGGCTTCTCTAGTCAAAGAGAGCACCTTTCTTGGTAAAAAAAAGAAAAAAAAAAAAGAAAAAGAAAAAGAAAAGAAAAATGATGGTGACTTCATGTCAGTTTTCAAATCGCCTCCTGGTTATTTTCAATAAGATAATGTGGACTGCAAAAGTATGAGACTCACTGAATGTAAATATTTCAGGCAAACTGATTGTTGCAGAGATTGAAAAGAAGAAAAAGGATACATTGTTTATCAGATGCTCAGGAAGTGTATTCTCTTAGCTATGGATTCACTAGAGCTCACGCTGCTCAAGAATCAAGGTGAGAACAAGTAGGGACCCCTAACATTGTTAAAACTGGGTTCTTCTCTTTTCCCTGCCATCTTCCCCCTCAACCATTCATCCACCGATTCCACAATATTTATTTGATAATTACTAAGAGCCAGAAACTGAGCTGGGCACAGGGAATAAAGCAAAGGATGAGTGAGATGTGACACTGTTCCCGCTAAGTTTATAGTTTTCTAGGAAGAAAAATGACATTAACTAAAAAAGTATACAGAAATGCATGTACTATAGGAACATACAGGTATCTAGTCAAACGTTCCAAGAAAGGCTGCAAAAAAGGTTCCAGGAGGCTGCAAAAAAGGTTCCAGGAGGAAGCAAAATTTAAACTTAGATTTAAAGCGTAAGGAGAAGAGGAAGAGAGCAGGACAGGTGGCATGTGTGTGCGTGTGAAATGTTCCAGGCAAAGGTGACAATACACATAAAAACTAGTGAGAAAATCAATGGAGACCAAAAATACACTGATACAATGATATTAAGATTTCTTCCAGCTTTTTAACTTCTCTATCACATAACTTCTCCACTAGATATTATTTTGTCACTCTAAACTTTTCACCATTTTTTTTCCTGTGAAGCAATAAAACAGAAGAATATACTTAAGGTAGTAAGAAGGTAGCTGACAAACTAGGATTAGCTTTAATTTGAAAGCTGGTTGGGGATGCAGAGAAAACTACGTGAGGAATCTCAGGTGGTAATGACTGTGCGAGAGTAGCAAATATCATGAGGGAAATAAGGACAAAATTGGATTTTTTCCCCATGCCTAAACAAATTCACTCCTCCTTCCGCCAATGCTCCACAAAAGAAGGGGTTTTAAAAGAGGGAAAGGGTACAGAAATATTCTAGCAAGTACTAATTTGCAGGATGACAATTAGATTTTTTCTCATATGCCAACTGTCTTCAGCTGGAAGGAGGTTGCTTGGAACTTGGAGCACTGGGTTGAGAAGTATTGTATTGTGTGGTCTGAGGTCAGCAGGAAACAGTGTGGTGACCAAATAGCCATAGTTATGGAAGGGAGTCATGGCAGCAAGTACTGTGTGTTTGCTAGTCTATCATCGGATGCCACATAATTTGACTGATAATAACTTCCAAAGTTGTAAGTGGTTCTGAGTTCTCAAAATTACTTTCTCATCTAAAAAATTCTACTAGTATGAAGGACTACTCTTAATGAAGTTGGAAAGGTGTAGTGGAAGGAACAAGGACAAAAGTTCCACCTCAGGTTCTCTTACTGTTTTGCTGAGTGTTCAGGGACAATAAACTCTATAAACACAATATATTGCTGATCCCTACTCTGTTATTTGACTGCAAATACAGTATTTCCCTGACCAGTGGATGCAAACTGTGGCAGAGATTGCTAAGTGTTGTTGGCATTCAAGCTCCCCTTCTTCTTTTGCTAATGGAACCTTCCTCCCCGAAGCTGAATTTTAACAAAGCCTATACATGACCATCCAGCTTAAGACTATATTTCCCAGTCTCCTTGAAATTTAGTTGTGGCCACATGGCAATGTTCTAACCAATGAAATGTATACAACTTCTTCATCACTTACATAAAAAGAAATGGTTTGTCTACCAATTTCCCTCTTTCTTTTTCCTGTGGCCTGAGATGTGAATACGGGACTGGTGAACTAACTTTGACCAATTAGACTCAGATAAAACACTTTTAAGGTCAAACATCAAAGAAAGCTGTGGTATTGGTCATTCTCATGGAATAGAGCTTCCTACCTCGTCTGGACTTCCTGCCTACCTTTGGACTATAGCAGGAAATAGAAATAAACTTGTCTCTTGTTTGAGCTCTAGTATTTGCAGGTCTCTTTGTTACTGAAGCTTAGCCAGGACCCAACTAATTTACAAACTCAAATGCCTCAGGGACCAGGAAGTGAACATAAATCAATGAATCACATTGATGAGAACTGCTCAAACCTAGGGAACAACCTAAAGGGGGCAATACAACGCAGCTTGGCCTGCGGCTGCCACATGGCAATGCAGGCCTAGGAGTCCCCATTCGACTAATTTAGCAAGAAATCTGGGTTCTTAAGTGAAATCTTCCAACATTTTATAATATTGGAAACTATCCCAAATTTAAAAACAAACAAAAAACTGCAGGTTAAACAAAACTGCCTTTACATCAGACTCAAGCCTATGATTGCCAATTTGTAACCTGTTCTCAATTATGAGCTAGCATTGAATGTAAAATGTACAAATATACCATCATCTTAACAACAGCTTTTTTGAAAAACTTTTCAAAAAATTTGAAAAATTTGTTTTTCACATCAACAAATGTATACACCAACTGTCAGATAGCAGAAATGTTAAAATAAAAAAAAAAAATGTATATTTCTAGGATTGAAAAAAACCTGATTTGTTTTTAGGGCATAATTCTAAATATGAAAAACATTCCAATAGATGATGTTAAAAGTCTAGTATTAGGAGCCAAAATCCCTCAATCACCCTCAACTCTGCAATAGGAAGCAGCTGGACAGCTTATAAAGCCAATAGTCACAACCCACACAGTAACTAGATTGCAAAGAACTCAAATCCCACATCCACTTGATTGTGCTATTGTGACCTTTCATAACATATCCTTATCTTCACTTCACTATTGTGGAGCCAGTCAAAAAAATTATTTTGCAGTGAATTTATTCCATGTTATTTAAACTTAATTATACAGAATACGTGCTCAGCATAAACATATTTAGCTAATAATTTTAACTAGGGGCTGATTTCAGCCATACCACTATACTGTGATCCATTATGATCATCAAAGGTAAACTTACCTTACGTATGAAGGCAACATTTTTAGAACCAACACCTTCCCAAAATATCTAATAATATATCACGTTGCCAAGTTGTTTTCTGTTGTTCCTTCACGTCAATAAGTAAGAGCATGCAAACATCGGCCTGAGGAAGGTAGGGAGGCCTGGGGGATAGCAGGAAGCGCTCCAGACCATCCAGCAGTTCTGCGGGGCAGGACGCCCCGGGCCAGCTGGCCAATGGGAAAGTCAGAAGGTGGCTAGGAAGGTCTGTCTGAACCTCATGCTCTAGGTAGTCCTCTGAAAGCCAAATCCAAAGGGCCTGGCTGGGCGCTGCAGAGTGCGAGGCGTCTCACACTGGATCACTTGTCAGTCCTCACCGCTATTGCCCTGGACCATGGCTAATCTGTTCATTTTTCAAATGATCCAATTTATAGGGGAATAAAGCATTTAAAATGGACTTTTCAAAATGGGTCATAGACATGAAAACTCAAGATGCAAATAAAGAATTTCAAGTTTTCTTGTTTCTTAGAAATATCTTTGTTCATTTTGCTGAGAATATTCATTTTATCAAAGGGAGCTCATTATTGCATGTGATTTTAAGTATCTGTCCAGAGTAATGAACATAAAGAACATATATTTGGTCATAACTCTTTTTAATTAATTTAACTTTACACCAGATGATTCTGTAGTTTTATTTTGTTAGGGTTTTTTTTTGTTGTTTTTTTTACCTCTTTATATATTCCAGTGCATACATAATAGTCTCTGGAGGGGAGGCCAAGTCGAGGCTGGTCAATCTATGAAAAATATACAAAAGAAAATAAATCAGTTGATATAGAACAGTTTACAAAATACCAGCATGCCTGTCTACATGTGAGCCAAAGTCCCAGTATTCTCGCTGTTTATAAGGGTAACAATCACACACTGAGTGGATACATAATTAGGAAATGGTTTTCACAATACTTCAAAGTATTAAACCAATGGGTAGTTACATGATCTGGGAGACTGTGCCGCAGATATTTGAGAAAAACCAAAGAAAACTTGAGCAGGACATATACTGGGAAGGATTTTAATGCAGAACAGAAGGTGCAGGTGAACAAAAACGTGTGAGAATCTAGGACTGAGGAGGTTCTAAATTACACATTTATAAGACAGTCCGCTCCTGAGATTCTATAATATGCACCCATGGGGGACATTCTCTTCTACTCACACCCATAACTGGGATGGAATGAAAATAAAAGGTGGAAAACCTCTATGGTAACTATAGAATTTTTAGATAGTGCAATCTTGCTAGAGATTTTTTGAGGTCCTCTAACCTAGAGGGATGGAGGAGTCACCTCCATGGTTCTCTCCAAAGCTGCCCTGCTCTGGACTTCAGCAGACCTTGCTGCTAGCTGAGGGTGTGCCAGGCGAACCTCAGGTCTGCTCTGCAGTGTCTAGTTCACCTCCATACCCAGTGAGGGCTACCTGGACACGCTCACAGCTCTGTGAGATTGCTTCCTAGTCACTGCCTAGTAAGAAGGTGGGTACAGGGGAAACTTCTTTTTTTTAAAGGTTTTATTTATTTATTTTTAGAAAGAGGGGAAGGGAGGGAGAGAAACATCAGTGTGAAAGAGAAACATCAATCATTTGCTGCTTGTTCATGCCCTGACCAGGGGATGAACCCACAACCCTGGCATGTGCCCTGACTGGGAGTCGAACAGGCGACCTTTTGCTTTGCTGGGTGACACCCAACCTCCTGGGCCACACCGGTCAGGACTACTGGGGAAACTTAAGTAAAATGTCTTTGATGTTTAACCAAGCAGTTTGATATAGTCAATCATGGATAAATATTTCTTGGTTTATTATTTAATAATGAAATATTTTGAGCCATTGAAGAAAAAAAAGATGAGTACAGGGCCCAACGAGAGCATTTATTCTCATTTATGAAAGTGAGAATCCTAGCAGGAAGTACCAGGTCAGCACAAAGGAAACATCACGCAGAGGACTGGCATGGAAAAGAGAGAAGGCATCACCACAAGAAGTGCTCTGCTCCTTTTCCAACCTCCTGACCTTCCTTAAAAAACCATCCCCTCATGATGACCATGCAGGATGCTAGCACTTGAGAGCCTGGGGAGAGAAATTAGCAAGGGAGGAAGGGGGTCCACTGTAGAAGAGAGCTGGGTTAAATGTCTTTCTTAATTTAAATAAATGACCATGAAGATTTATGCAATAGTGACGTAAATGTGATTCTGTGACCTGCAACTTTTGGTTTAGTTTCTTTTACAGGGGAGTGAATAAGAGCTTTCTAAATTTTTCAGTCTGTGCCAAACATACTCCCTAAGTATAAATCTCGTTTTAGGCGACAGCTTAGATAAACCTAAATGAATGGCTTACATTAAAGAAAAAAATCTAACAAAGCCATTTGATAAGAATGGCATCTTATTTACCTTAATTGAGAAACAAGTACTGACATTCTTTAGCAAGAACCAAAACTGTGTTGTAATATCCCTTTTCTATGTTCTCTTTGGAAACAATTATGAATTTCTGGTTTCCAGGCTGCCTTACTATGTAAACCAGACAGTTCTCCTTTCAGGAACATACAAAGAAATGAAGTGCTTTTTCTAAATAGGAAGGGTCTGATGTCTTTCATTTTTTATTTATTTTATGAGAGGAGAGGTATCTAAAATAAAGGAAGCATAAAAGAGAGATGAATGTCTAAAATACAGCATTAAGTAAATATTTTCAAAATTGAGAATCTAGATACCAGGGACATAGCATTAATTTATTGCCACCTTGCCCATTCAATTCAAATGAGACTGTGCATTATTTCTAAATATCAGTAAAAACAATGTGTGTGGAAGTTGTATTACAATTTAAAGGTAACTTTGGCTGATGGCCACACAAACTTACGTGAATTATATGGCTCACAGAGTTCTTATCATCAGTGCCAACAAAAAAATTAATAATGACTTTTTTCCCATATTTAGAATTCAGTTGTGCAATAGCTTTCTCAGCTGTCCAAGAAGTACCTAAAGCAATGAAACGTGAAGTACATCTTTAGAAGCTTTAGTGCATAATATGATACCATATAATGACATAGATTTTATTGGAAATTTTTTTTTTTAAAGATGGAAAACTGCCTTACCATGTGTTTGCTCCCAGTTTTCTGAGGCTACTGGCCAGTCGTATATATCTGGTAACACTTGGAGTAGAGGCGCTCCACCTCTGCTATCAATAGCAGCTTTTGAAAGCAATGAATATAAATGTATTAAGAAGTCTACGCATGTTTTAGCGCACTCTGAGTGAAATATAATGAGGGACACTTACATTCATTTATACAAGACCTGTACAATGTTTTTGCTTTCTGCACTGCTACTATATCTTCAGGTTTGGGTTCCTGGAGGACATCTGAAATGGTGCATTTAAGAAAATGCGTTAATATAATAGCTCATTTGCAGCTGTAATTAATATTTTCAACACAGGTTCAGTAACAAACTTGCTTCTTTGTATGTACGTTCCCTCCCTTCCCATGCCAAAACCTTACAGGAAAAATCAAACCCCTTACCTAATCATCTTTCTTAGTGCAGAACTGGGAGTTAGTTTCATCAGCCAAGTTACATGAAAGTGTTTTTGACTAGATCATCTTTTTTTTTTTTTGAACAGTGATGTGTACTGCTCTGCCACAGATAAGTTACTGTGGTTTCGAATTGAGATTAAAAAGGAAACAAATAACAATACAGAGGAATTTGGAATTTAATATGATACTCCTCTTGATGGCTGAAAAATAATTCTTTGTGTGATGGTACTGTTCATGCTCCAAACTGAATGAACTGTTCTACTTGTTTGGATGTTAGAAAATAGCAAAACTTGTTTTCTACAAAGTAACTTCTAGATGAGGAGAACAAAAGATGGAGGATAGTAGGGGACTAGACACGGCTTTCTCAAATTCCCAGGGAGAGTGTTTTAGCTGGGTTAGAAAAAATACACCACTCTGGGAAGACAAGTCTTAGTAATATCTTAGAGCGACTTTAACATAGGCCCGGGGTGGGAAGATCAGGGAGGTAGTGTTTAGTGGAAATCATTCAATATTTTTTTTATATAACAGCATAAAACTGCTATCTTCAGGGATAATAGGACTTACTGTTTCTATACCTACAAATGAAAGCAGGAATGCAAAGAGATGCCAATATCTCTAATTCAGTGTCTACCAGCCTCAATACAACTAGACGGTGGTCCACAAAATTTGGCGGGGTTACTGACTCTCATCCTGTGCAATGTTACCCACAATAGCCAAGAGTTGTATCTCAAAAAACAGATACATTAAGAGACCTTTGATGCATAGACACAAACTTCACTAACCTTTCAAAACGACTTCTAGTTCATCTCTTAAAATGTCAAAGTTACTGTAACGGGAGCTGGTCTCAGGGATGATGTTGCGCTTCAACCAGCCTCCACAGGCGTATTTGAAAAAGTCTGAACACGGCTCAGCAGTGGTGTCCATGTTTTGGATGAGTCGAGCAGCTGAAAAACCAGACCAAGGACGAGAGAAAACAACGGGCGTATTTCTTAAGTAGTTTGGAAGGTGGGGGGTGGGGGAGGGAAGCATGCTGCTTCTGCTTTAAGAGCAAGTCAACTGGCCTGACGCTTCTTTTTCTTACCTGTAACTGTCAATTCAGGGTGGAATGATGGATATTAACTATGCATAGTCCTCCTTTACTAGAGTAGGTTGGTTTTATTCCTGAAAGGTCTGGGGCCTTCCATTCTCCACCTCACCCTCTCCCCAAGTAACTTGTCACTTATGTTCTTGGTAGTTCCTACCTCAGATATATATAAAATCTGTTTGGACGTCCTGGGTTGGGGTTAACACAAGGTCACTCTTCATTCTGACAAGTTGAGCTGCCAACTCTGCTCTTCAAGGTGTTGTGACTTTTGAATGTCTCTCAAGCTCCAAGGGATGAGGGATTGTTAATGGGTTTTTGTCATTTTAGTACAGATCTGAAGCTCCATTTATTACTTCTTGAACCTTGCTTACAAAATTTTTGCAATTCAAATTTGACATCATATTTGCATGTTTATATAGACTCTGTCATTATAAAATTGGCTGTACTCTTGTTAGTTTTTCTTATGTCCACTCTTTTATCTTTGAGAACTGCAATGAAAATGCAAATCAACCAACACTGAGTGCTTGCAATGTACAAAACGCTGGCTGTGCTAGGTGCTGCAGTTGATAGAAAGATGCATAAAATATGAATTATTACCACCAAAGGGAAGAATATTATGTACAGGATGCCCAATGCCCACAATTCCTACACCTGGAATAGTGAGAAAACCCTGTCCCCTGCTCTCCCCACGTTCATTCTCAGACAAGGTGAACTGTTTCACAAGAAAAACAAAAGTGCGATTGAGAATTCATCTGTATCAAGAGGGTGTAGGTTCTCAAGTGAGATTTTGAAAATCCTTCACTGACTAAATAAATTATTTAATTAAAACCTCACACAATGGCTGTGTGGAATTTTTCACCTTGGAGTTGCTAATCTGTTTTCCAGCTGAGCCTCAAGCCCCCGCTTCTAACTACCTCCTGGGCCCCTTTGCTTGGCTGCCTCAGGCTCCATCTCCGTGGGCTGTCTCCAGACCAGTTCTCCCTGGACTTTCATATGTTAATATACAGGACAATTGTTTTCATGGCCTCCCAGGTTTGAAACCTTGGGTAAAACTCTATTACTCCCTTGCCCTTGGGTCTATTGGTAACACCTTTGTCTCTCTTCTATAATCTTTCCATGATCAATGTTAACCTAGTTTACATCTTCATTCTCTTTTGTCTAGAGTCACCCAACCGGTCGCCATGCTCGTCCAGTCTCCCTATATTTATACATTCCACACATCTTTTGCAGGCTGAACTTCCCAAAATACCCTTTTGCACCAGCCACTCCCTTGCCAAAATGTGTCAGTGGCTTGCCATTGTCTAAGTTAAACTGCAACTCCTTACCTTGGTCTCTTAACTCTTCACTAGACCAATCAAAAGTCTCCACCTTCCCCTTTTCCCTCTCTGAGTTTTATACAAACTCCTGCTCCAACCAGGTGGCCTGGCTCCATGTGTCACGGACACCTGTGTTTCCCTCCCCTGTGCCTTTGCTTCGCCCCCACCTGCCTTCCCCTCTTAACTCCTCCACCCATTCTCCCCAAATTCTACCCACTATCCAAGGTTCAGCTGTCTCACGTCTTCCTTGAAGCTTCCATTACCTCAAACTTCAGGGAATTTTTCTTTCTCTTAGAGCTCATGGCCTCACTCAGTCCTTAATCCTCAGATGAAGCTACTTTGGGTTTCTCATTGTGAATACCTTGTCTGTCTGTCTTCATAACCGTTCTGACTATGAACGCATCCTAACCTCATATTCCCACCATCCAGCACCTCAGTGGAAGGCGTGCATGTGTGTTTATGTGATAGCATTCCTGAGTCACCCTCTGAGTCCTGTAACTCCTTCCTTGTCCACCTTTCCCTCCCTGGCTCCTGCACATCAGACCCCTTCTCATTTCAGGCTCTTCAGAGCCCTTCCCCTCCTTCCAATTCAGAGAGGCCCCCGGCCTCTCTCCACTCCACCCATCCTGTGTCCCCATGAGATGAACTCAGAACAAGTCAGCAAGCCATTTTCCACTCCCAGGATTTCAACATAATCCTTTTCCATTCGTAATCAAATCCAGACTCCACAGTGTCCACTAGCCCTAACGGATCCAGTGAGGCTCCTTTGTCGCTCCTTTCTCACATGGGCCCGCTGCCCCAATTAAATGAATGTACTGCGTCTCTGCTGGGAAACACCTTACTGGTTTCTGCCTCTGCACCTTTGACCATGTTATCTCAACTTCTACTGCAATAGCCTTTCTTTATTTTTTTCACATTTAGAAATCTCAGGCATTTTCAAGGCCCAGGTCAAGTCCTCCTTCTTCCTGACGGACAGTCCTTACAAAGCTCGTGTCAGGTTGACTATTTGCTGCTGGAGAGCCAAGGTCTCCCACCCTGGGCCGTGGTGCCGGTAAAGGAGGAAGTGCACATCCTGGTTCGCTCACTGAGAAAAACAGCCTGCTCCATCCAGCCCTGTCAGTAGAAATTTTAACTTGAAACCTCAGGAAAAGATTAGGAAATTGGTCTACAAAAGGTGGAGAGAAAAAGTAACTCCCTTGAACTTGGAAGAAAATGAAGATATGATGATGGGGAAGTGAAAAATAAAGATCCTAAATATATAGAAGATGATCATGTAAAGTGAAAAAACCAGGAAATTGGAGACTCAAAGAAGTGCTAACTAAAGATGTATTCTAAACATACATTTTAACCAATTTTATGTAACTCTTGTCTTTCAAAACATTTTTACAAATTTAACCTGAATGTCATAAAGGCTCCTGCCACTTTGGAAGCACTTCTAATTTTCTTTCCTTCTCTGGGGGAATGAATAGTTTGTGTCCCAACACCTCAAACAGCAATAAACTCCCAGTTGGGAGAGCAGGGAACAAGCAATGAATGAGTAGGATGAACAAGTCCGTCTTGGAAATATCCCATGCCCTTTTAAACACCCTCAACAAAAAGGAGGAGCAGCCACTGCGGATCTGTTGTTGTTGCATCTTCCGCAAGGAAAAAAAGATCCTTCTCTTCCGTGGCTGAATTCCTCACTCTACACCCAGCACAGTTAAACTACTTGCATCTGGACAACAAATCAAAGCAGCAGCACTCAAACAATTTGTGAGGGATATGCAGACAACAGATAGGAAGAGGCAACTTTGCAAACTCCTTCCTGTGCCCCCTTTTTAAATTTCCCTTCGACCAGAGAGCTCATCTGGCCAGGGGTGCTTCCAATCACTTCAAAGGGAGCTCTCTGTTCTGATGAATATTTTGAGGCCATGGGCCAAGGCGAGTCCTGGGCTAGCACTTTTATGCTGGGTCTTTGATCAACCTTCCTTTAATCTCTTATCGTGGGTCTGATTCTGGTTTTGCACCTTATCCTCCGGACCTCCTCTGTGCTGACTTTTCTTTGAAGTCAGCGGTAGACTTGAGAGTAGAAGGGCCATAGGAAACAGACGCACAACTGTCAAACTGGTTGTAATTGTTTTTATATTTTGCACTTTGTTTTGAATTGCTCAACCTCTCTACGTAGCCACACCTGGGCTCTTCAGATGTTTCCTTATCTGTGAGTCTGTGGCTTCTGAGTAAATAAATGTGGTTTAAAAACAAAATTATTCCCCTTAATAAGTAGATATAAAAATGGGTGTAGTAAACGTATTGATGTAGAGTGCTGTTGACCAGATGTTTGTAGGGTGAAAGAGAGAGTATATCATGATTTTTTAAAATATGTATAAAAGCCCAGAAAGCCTACAGGGCATTTATAACAGTTATATCTGAGTGGAAGGATGATGAGTGTGTTTAATTTTGTATTATTTGCTTATCTTTATTTTCTAATTTGTATTAGATGAACATGTACTGCTTTCACAATAAGAAAAGTTTATTTTTAACTTAAGAAAATAGTCACAGAAAGACAAGAAAAGTAATCCTCTATTAATAATGAGCTTATTTCTTATGATTGACAATTCTGAATGTTCTAGGCTGATAACAAGTGACACACCATTATTTTCCAAACTAATCTTCTTGTAACATTCTCCCAACTTACTTGACTATGGGGATTTAAAAACAAGCTCAGCCTGTATCTGGGAAGTTATTAATTACTGTATTCATTACCAAGGGTCTACCATGTGGGCTGCATGAGGGGTGCCGCGGGGGCTGGGGAATGCTTGGGTTGCTGGAATCGGGCAGACCTGTTCTGAACCCCTGAGGATCACCACGTTTTAGCTGCACAGGAGTCTCCCTCGCCTACGGTTTTGCTTTCCATGGTTTCAGTTATCTGCAGTCAACCAACCATCGTCCTTAAATATGAGATGGAAAATTCCAGGAATAAACAGGTCATAAGTTTTAACTTGCACACTGTTCTGAGGAGCAGGATGAAATCTGGCACCACCCTGCTCCATTGCTCCCAGGTCATCCCTTAGTCCAACACGTCTGTGCTGCACACGCTCCGCGCCCGTCAGCCACGGAGGGGCCGCCTCGGTTACCAGATTCACTGTCCGGGCGTTGCAGTGCTTGTGTTCAAGTCACCCAAATTTAACTGAACGATGGCTCCGAAGCAAGAATAGAGATGCTGGCAATTCAGATAAGCCAAAGAGAAGCCCTAAAGTTCTTCCTTTAGGTAAAACTTTCATATATCTATGAAAAACATATATCTCTGGTTTGGGGGCAGATTACTATAGCAAACACTGCACTATATTCAGAATCTCTTCTCTTCTCTGATTATCAAGACTTTATTCAAGGACCATTTCTGTTGAGTTTGACTTTTTGTTCCTTGAAGATGAGCTCTGTCTATCTCAAGAGGCTCCTCGGCCTCATGGGCAATAGACTTGAGGCACGATGCCTCTACCAGCTGCCAGGACATTTTTAGACAGAGTGGAATTCCAGCTACTCTGGAACCCGCTGCATGCCTACCGCA